TAATTTGAATTCAAAACTCCGAGTTGTGACCGTCGCCGTCCTGCGATGGGTCAAACATCAAGGAGAGGTCACCGGTGCCCTGGTGGAGCTTCCTGCCCTGGCTGAAGGCTGAGGGCGCTTCTCGATTACAGTACTAGCATCGGGGTAAGATTCATGTTGAACCTGCATTCACGGCATTCATCGCACGGCTTGGACGAATGAGAGTAAGATAAGCAAGGAGGACAGAGCATCCTACAGGAGCCCCAAAAGTGCAGTCGCCAATCTGGTGAGGTGAGAATGACCTTTAGACTCTTTCTGTGTCAAATTGGATTGTCTTTTGTAGTGAGTGTCTGAGTTTGCCCCGGGCCGATGTCACAGAAGGAGACATTCTGAAGGGATGATATGAGCTGAGCAGAGTGTGGTCTGCTTCAGTGGCAAAAATTAGTGGTAGAAGGCGCAGGCAGATATTGTGCCCTTCCTTTGCGAGCCTGCATGCGTTGTGCCAGCCTCAGGTGCATTGGCTAGCAAGCTTGATTCTTCAGGCTGTGCTGTCTATCACCTAAGTTGGGGGTGGATCTGGAGTAGGATTGCCTGATGCTAAAGGACAGAACAGCGGGCACTGGAGCCCTGTGCAATCATTGATGCACAGTCTGGCGGGGCTGAAGCCCCTTGAGTTTTCTTGAGAGGATATAGCGACTGAGTGCGCCAAAACTAGAGCACTTGTTGGACTCCTCATCAAACACGGCTTTTGCATGCTTTGGCTGCAGTTGTCCAGGCGCAATAAAGCTTGTTTACGCAAAGTGGCCGCTAGAACATTTAGCAGCTCGAGCTGCAATCTGTTGAAACCTTTTCATGGTTGGTCATCGCACAAGTTCTGCTCTTTTCACAGACATCACTTGCGATCGACTCTCCTTGACCTGCAAATGTTCCTCCCCATCGAGCAAAGGACTTAAGCAATCAGTCTGCAGAATCTTCTTGCTGTGGAAGCAATTGTTATTTTGTAGCGGCAATACTTGTCAAAGATCACTTTTGATCCTGTCAGCTGTCCCTAGGGGAGGTGCCTAAGCTTTGCTGGAACACAAGGTAGTAGATGTGTCGCAGGCTGGCGGATTTGCAAATGTCATGCGCTAACTGATCTGGTGTTGTCGCATCCTGACTGGTCTGGCTTGGCATTGCAGCCACTCAAGATGGTCAAAAGGGTTACTCATTTGTGGGCTGGGCTTGTATTATGAGGGTGTCGGTCCTAGCTGCAAGCTTCCTGGCCCCTTGGGTCCTGCTCCCTTGGGCCCTGCTCCTTTGGCTCCTGCTTCCTGGCCCCTTGATCCTGCTCCGTAATTGTTGCTGTTGGGTTGCTGCTTAGGACATGAGAAGGAGCTTGTGTGCATATCAAGGAAGTTGAACTTTGGAAAGAAGAGAAAGAACTCAGAGGCCTTGTCAAACTCCAGGCATGGAGGAACAGGAGTATGCTATCGAACAAGGGGAGGAGGAGGAGGAGGAGGAGCAGACGCTGCTTCATGGACCTTGTCCCCTTGAGCAACTGGAAGTGAGTGTATCGACTGAACCTTGCAAGCTTTTGAACCAATTGCTTGATGCTGAACCTGTGCGATAGCATCACATCTTTGTTCGAGAGGCTCAAATGCTTGTTTGAGATGGCACTGAACATCTCTTCCTTGATGCAGCAACTTGGGATAGCATCTGCAGACATCAAGAAATTACGAGAGGGAGGAATACATTCCGTTGAAGGTGTTTCATACTCCACACGGAGCCAGTTGCAGAAGATCAGGGGCATAAGCGAAGCAAAAGTAGAAAAGATTCTGGAAGCTGGTAAGTATTCGAGGCCTTGAGTTGCTGAAAGCTTGGTTGCTGACATTATCATTACAAAAGCTTTTCTATGCCTTCAAGAGAAGACAGCATACTGCATGTCCCATAACCAGTCGGCGTGAGGCCATGGAAAGAGTCAATGGGCAGTCAATCCAACTTCTGGATGAAAGCTGAGGTGCTCATATCCTGCTGATGTCTTCCCAGCTGGAAAGCTTGTGCCCCTTTCCTTTACGAGTGCAACCACAATCAACGAGCAAAGGAGCGAACTGATCCAGATCACAACAGGATCAAAAGACCTTGATAGGGTCTTGGGAGGTATGGCTCCTCTTTCTTGTTTTTGAATGGTGCTTGCATGAAACAGTGACGGTTGTGAAACTTGAAAAGTGCAGTTCCTTGATGGCATTCTATTTCGTTTGCATCTTATCATCCTTTTTATAGAATTCTTGGATGCCCTCCCTAACATTGCACAGGAGAAGGGGCACATGAAACCTGGTAATGTGTGGGACATCGTTTCGAATATAGCCCACTTTTTGAGGAGACGAGGATGCTGATGCTATGTTTTACTGGGGTTGTCTGCAGGAGGCTTCGAGTCTGGATCAATCACAGAACTTTATGGCGAATTTCGCACCGGCAAAACTCAATTGCTGCACACTATATGTGTAACTTGCCAGGCAAGCCCTCGTAACCATTTTGGCCGAAAGTATTGCAACGGCCAAGAAGAGTGGAAAGCAAGTAGTGTGTGACAAATTGTATCCTTGCAAGATGTGATGCAGGATTGACCGAACAAGCATCTTCTGATGTGTCTTGTGGCAAGATGGAAGCATCATCTACAATATGGGATATGGTTGTTTCGTTTCAGTTGCCACTGGACCAGGGGGGAGGCGAAGGCAAAGCTCTCTACATTGATACAGAAGGAACCTTTCGGCCCCAGAGACTGTTGCAGATAGCAGAACGGTGAGATCCAGATCTGCTGTCTGGTTGCCGGGAAGCACGAGTCGGCCATGGTGATCTGTTACCGTGCCCTTTTGATGCTTTTAAGGCGTCCCTTGCATGTTTAGCGGGCCTTGATGAGTCCCTTCGTAATGTCCCTTGAATATGCCTGCAGGTATGGGCTGAACGGAGCCGACGTCCTTGACAATGTTGCATATGCACGCGCATACAACACGGACCATCAAATGAAGCTGCTCTATGAAGCAGCTTCTATGATGTCTGAGAGCAGGTAAGGTCTCCCTGAATGTGGCACTGCTTGAATAGGTGATCCCTTAGCACGTGTCTTGAGATGCTCAATTCGGACACGAGGCTTTGAAAGCTCCAAGTGTTGGACGTGGCAGGCTTTGAGAATCTTTGACGCCTTTTGCTGATGTCAATCTCGGGTGCAGGTTCGCTGTTTTGGTGGTCGACAGTGCCACGGCCCTATATCGAACGGAGTTCTTTGGACGGGGCGAGCTATCCGCCCGACAGATGCACTTGGGCCGCTTCCTGCGAGCATTGCAGAAGCTTGCGGATGAGGTGAGAAAGGTCACTGTTGGGAGCTTTGAAAAGTCACCGCACTTGAGGTCTACCAGACCTGATAGAGAAGCGCCAGCCTTTCTGCTCGAATCAACCTGAAGGGAAGGACCGAATGGTGTCGATTTCGTGACCATCTCTTCGACTTTAACGGATCCTCTGGACGCTTTGATCGTAAGCCTCGCACCCAGGCCTTGAGCAGCTCCAGAGCTATGTCAGGAAGCGAAACGCACCTAAACTACATCCAATCTTGGCCCTGCAGTTTGGCATAGCGGTGGTTATGTCCAACCAGGTAGTGGCCCAGGTGGATGGGGGAAACATGTTCGCGGGACCACAAGTCAAGGCGATCGGGGGCAACATCATAGCACATGCCTCGACCACAAGGTGAGGACTTCAGCACGTCTTGAACGCAGTCAATGGTAGTCGCAGCTTGTTGGCAGCATCATGGAAGACGTCACCTTGGAGCTGGTTATCAAAAGATCAACCTGCCCCTATTACTGCAGGTTAGCTTTGAGAAAGGGAAGAGGCGATGAGCGTGTTGCTAAGGTCGTCTGTTCCCCATCCATGCCGGAAGCGGACGGAAGATTCATCATTACCAACGATGGGGTTTCAGATGCGAAGGACTAGAAATTGCACTACCTGCAGTTTCAAAACGATGTCCGCCGTTGTGGATCATGGACGCTTTGATGAAGCTTGCTAGGACATTATATCGATGAAGGACCTCGAGGTGCTTAAAGATTTTGTGCGTCGGTTACTTCCAATCTGATTGTCACGACAATCTGAATTCTTGTCATTTCCGAGGATAAGTACGTCTAAGTAGAGTTCTTACCCGTGCTTAAGCATTTGAAGAGCCCAGAGATTGCCAATCTGGGTACAACATAGTGAGGCACGTCCGCCGGACCAGAGGAGGAATAATGAATTGTCAATCTCCTCGCAGTCAGAGTGTGAATCAGAGTGCAGGGATGGGACATGATACATGCCATTTTTGGTGACTGTGTCTCCGAGGATGACTAACTTCTTGAGTTCAAGTTGATATAAGCACTCGGTAACTATTATGGATCACGTGCGTTATCATGCGCATTCAGGTGAATCTTTGGACTCAATCTTGAACTCCGGCACCTGGATGATCATCGTCGCCGATGTTAGTGCCTTCCGACTACTGCTCTATTCACATCCGTAGCTTGAAGCTACGCAGTCAACGTGGCAATGCGAAACATGTCGACTATGTGCTTTAACCTTCTACGTGCTACTAGCAACAAAGGTTTCAAAACGAATATAAATTTGCCTCCTTGAAGTTGTATAGCTTGCTCGCAGAAGTATCTGGGGTTCAATGTGGCCGGGCATGCAGAGTGTAAGATCCAGAATTGACATCAGTCATGACATGACTTTCACTTAAATCTTGAGCCTCGACTATACAAAACTAGCTTTCGACATCGGACATCCGACCGGCATGGTTTACCGCTTCCGACATTAGGCAGCAATGAATGATACTCATGCCCACGCGCGACCGCCCGGGCAGATCGCGTGCATGGCGGCACCCTAGGCTGGGATCGACTTATCGGCCTGGCACCTCTCATAGCACAAGCTTGCAGACTGAGACCCTCCGCGGCAATTGCACTTGCCGCACTGAACCTGAAAAAATTGGGCTCATGCACGGTGCATATATATGCTGCACTGCCGTACGCGGTATTGCCCAATTGTAGCCGCACTACGCATGACGGTAAATGCAAGGCACTGGTAATTACATGCGCCGGCCGGCTAGCTGTAGTCTGCAAAATGTGCACGATCGAAGGGCCGGGCAGCATTCTTGTACGTGACCGTGACAGGGAAGTCGTACTATACCCCGAATGATACATAGACCATGTCCAATGCACATACCGTGCGCTGTTCCGCGGCCGTATATATTGGAGATGTATATGGACGGCCGCGCTGTACTAGTGCCAATGTGTGCTAGTCTGCAAGCACCGCGCGAGGCCCATAAGCTTGAAACTCGAGGCTGATACCTTGCATGCGATTGACGAGCAGATCGCGCGATCGGTGTAGGTACGTGCCACGAGCGACCGGTGGCCTCGCCGTTCCCATGTCCAATGGCACACAATGTGTCCCTCGGGCTCGAGCCTGGGAAGTACATGGAACGAGAGGCCGCTTTAGTCCAGACCCTAGTTGCGACTTCGCAATGGCATGGCGGGCTGCGCTATAGCTCCTGTGCATAACATGCCGACAACAAGAAGCTCATTTTCACAGTGAAGCGCTCATGGAAGTCGTCATGCACTTCAACAGATATTAGGGACATCAAGCCAGGGGTGCTGGCTGCTAGGCCTCACAAGAAATTCTTATTCCTTGAGTAGAAAGATAACCAGCCGTCAACCTAATGAACAGGGGCATGTTGGTCAAACTTGCACCTCACCTACGCACTTCGATCTCCCTATTTCTAAACTCTACAGCGACGACTCAGTTCCTGCTCGAAGCGAAGCACCTACTCTAAACTGTAGCCCTTTGCATCAACCAACTCCCAACGCTCGGGTAGAATACATAAGCTATTCGAGGTGCTACACTAAGCAACGCTTGCTTACCGACAGGCTAGAGGATCTTTCTCTTTCGAAGGTAGAAGAAGAGGACGAAGAACAGTGCGAATCCCCCGAAAACAATGCCGCCAGCCGTTATCCAAAAGGCATGCTGCAAACAAAACGGACGACAGGCTCAGCTTATGCGTCAGTCAAGCGGAGATATACGGGGCAATAACTGGCATCAACGCATGGCGCACGTACTAACGCTTGAGACGTAACGAGGCAGGAGCGATTGCACACAGATTCCATTACGAGGAGTGCTGAAGCCAACGGTAGCTTGCAGCTGCGCCGGGCGCATGGCCGGCGGCGCAAGCCGGGTGCCGGTTCACCTTTTGCGTTTCCAGGTAGGACGTCAGGTTCATGCCGAAGATGCCGGCCACCATGGCGCCCACCGCGCACGCGAACGTGCCGATGGCCAGCAGCAGCTCCAGCCGGTTCACCTCCAGCCGCCGTGAACTGCCGCCCGGATCAAGCCACGGACACCACGATCAGACGGCAAGCCCGACAAGGAATCCGAACCGTAAAAGCGTACTGAAAAAACGGGGCGCCAGCTCAAGGAGCAGTCGCGATGACGGCACGCGACTGACAACCCAGGACGATGGAGTCGACTGGAAACACCGCACCGTTTTAACTGCCATGAAGCAGCGGATGCGCACACGCGTGATGCTGTGCGGCGATGTGGGGCGGCGCACCTGAGGTTGACCGCGATGGAGTCCTCCATCTCCTTGGCGGAGTCGAGCAGCTTCTCGGCCTGGCCGTGGCAGCTGTCGCAGCGCTGCAGGTAGTACTCCAGCAGCGTCTCCACCTCCTCCTCCTCCTCCTCCGCCTCCGCCTCGTCGAACGCGGGGTCGCACTCCAGCACGCCGGCCGCGCGGTGGCTGCGGCACAGCCGCCCCATGGCCGTCATGCGCCGGATGCGGTCGCTGTCCTCCAGCAGCTCCAGCAGCATCTGCCGCAGCGCGCCCGCCTTGCTGCCCAGCTCCACCTGACAGCCAGCCGCGAGCAGCAGCTCAGCCACAGAACGCACGATGGAGCAGGAACGCATAGCAGGGAAGGAATGCCCTCAATGTCCGCAAAGCAAGACAGGCCCCTAGAGAATCTTGAGCGTCATGAAAACTCTGCGGACATGCCAGTCCCCCGCTTTGGGCACTGGCTGACTATCCATATTAGCAAGGTTCTGGCTGCCGATTCTCGCTATCACGGACTCGTTCGCTAAAGAAGGCTGCAAACGAGCCGTTCGCATGCCGGTCAGGCGATAGCCTTGACGACCGAGCGACGATTGTCAGCGAGGCTGCGAGCCCTGCCCGTCGGTCCTGGGCGGCGTGCGGTGTGCCTCACCAGGGCCTGCTTGGCGAGGCGCAGCTCCTCGAGCGCGTCTGCGGTGAGCTTGTTGGGCAGCAGCTCCAGGAGCATGGCCACGCGCGGCTCCACCTCCATCAGCGCGGCCTCCAGCCGCGTCGTGCGGCTGATGAGCGCCGCCTCCACCACCTCCAGCTGCATACGGGATCAGAAAATCAGCTGTTTTAAGCGACCAACACAGAGTGGGAAAGAGCCCTTTACTTCGAAAACGTCAGCAAAGAGGATCCCGAATTCCTCACATACAAATCAATCAGAAACACTGATTGAAATCTCGGACAGTCCGACCTGTCAAAACGAAGCTTCTGATTTCTTCCGCAACTGCATGTGGCAGCGCCTGGCTGGCATGAATCGTTCGAAGCCTGTCGCTCGGAGGTGTGGAGGGTCTGAGGAGCCTGGCTTACTCCCCCCCCGCCAGAATGCGTTACACTGCTGATGATATGCATGAAAGCTACTCAGTGAGTTGAAGAGCAAGGCACATAAGCTGGCCGCACAAAACCAGCAAATCTGACCGTCATGACGTCGTCACGAAGGAACGCCAAATCACCTCGAAGGGGATGGGCAACCCGCCCTGCGAATGGGAGGCGGCCAGCCGCGCCGTGAACACCTCCAAGAAAGCCGCGGCTCCAACACTGGACACAAGAAAACCAGAGGTTCGGAGGTCGGCCCCTGGAAGTGACCCCGCGGAAGGCCCCATTGATTCCCAATAAGGTGTGAGCACAAGATCTGTAAGGGAGAATATCCCACTGAACGGCATTCCCAGGGAGGCCACCCAGTGCCCCCCAGTGTGTGCAGCACGAGTGGCGCGGGCGCGCACCTGGTGTGGTCAAAGACAAGGCAGTGCTCCGGAGTAGCAATGGCCCGCAGGCTGCCCAGGTTCAACAAGATGGCCTGGTTGCGGACCTGCAACAGAAAAGCAGCGGCGCTCACACGGACGGAAAAGCGGCCAGCGAGAGGTCCGCACAGAGGCCCTGGTACGCAGCGCAATGAAGACAGGTGGAGGATGGAAAACCCGCTTACGACAACAACAATGACTGCAGCCTACACCGAACTCAAAAGAAGTGAGTGATGAGACTCCGCACTCAGAACCATCCAAGACGCCACAACAGTAGAGGGGTGCGTGCTGGGCAACTGAGTCTCAGCGAATCGCTGGCTTACCAGTATGGCAGGCAAGGAGTTGGTCACCCACAACAAGGGATCTATTCGTCGCACATCCCGCGGACGCAACCCTGGCCACAAAACAAAGGCGCAGTGAGAGAACTGCTCTGCCAAAAGGTGACTGCAAAAGTACACTCCTTTAAGTTCCTGACGAAACATGTCTGCACTTTCAAAGCTAGCCCATGCGAAGAGGAGAACTGATTCCTTGCAGCCTGCATACCTGTGCTTCTGAGAAGCTGCCGCCTGCTTATGTCGCGTGTCTTCAATTTCCCAGCGCTGTTAATCTCCAAAACCTGGATGCACAACCAGAGCGGGGCCTGAGTGAAGCTCATAAGTGACCGGAGTAGAGCACTTACTCCCCCACCATCCTGCCACTGAAAGAGACATCCATATTTAAAAGAATGCAAGCTGACGAGGCCACCACCAGATTGCAGCAGCAGCTTGTATATCGACCCCACAAACACCAGCTGAACCGACAGGGTTGTGGCGGCGCCGCAATCAGCCGAGTGGGGAACATGTTCGTCAGCCGCAAGGGCATTCGAGCACAACTAAAGCGCCAGAACCAACAGGACGATGCACCTGGTATCCAAGCTCTTTCGCCGAAGAGGTCCCCTCCAAGAAATCACTGTGCTGACCGTTGCCTCTTCCATTCTCGCTCAAAGTGCTTTCGTCTTCACTCTCTCCAAGATAGCTTGTGGAGGTCAGATTGCAGTCGTCCTTGACAAATTGAGCAATCCGTTCCCTCGCCGCCGGAGTGAGCTCGTCCAGGTCTTGAACAGACCGCGGCCGTGACCGCACGCGCGTCACTTCCAACGCCTCCGAATCCTCATCATCATCGTCGGAAGCTAGGGCCCCTAGGCTGCCGGAGAATGCCCGCGGCTGTGACCTTCGCAGTCCAATGGGCACCTCACGAGCGCATCCAACATCCGAGTGCTTTTTCCGTACCCATGGCAAATTAGGACGAAGTTTGCATTGCAAACGGAATGCAAGGGCTGGCCTTGCACTTTGACATGGAGCCCAATCTTGTCGGATGAAAGGTGTCAGAGTCGTACCCCGACATAGTGTACAGCAGCTCGTCATGATGAGACTCGTTGCAGTTGCCGTCACTTCCTAATCACTGATGCAACCTCGAAAAGGTGGACGGGTTCTGGTCAGCAGCGGCATGGCCCTGCTGAAGCCCAATGGAAAACAGAACCCTCAGCAAGTCACGGGTTGCCACCCATTGACCGGCCCATTGCTCAGCAATCTGTTTCAAGATGTAGTAGTCCCGTGTGGCCGGCAGCTGCGCCATGCAGCTGCTGGACTGGGGCAGCTCTGCCAACAGGCTGCAGCTTGGTCTGGACAGACGCCGCTGCGCCACTGAGCTCGCTCCATGCACCGAGGCAAGAGGCGTGACGGTGCATTGAAACTCCGAGTCCAACAAGCAGCCGAACTTTTCTTGGAAAAACGGATGCGGACATCGTTAAACTGGGCACTTTTGAACATCACCGGGAGCCTTCCCAACACTGAAAACCTATAATTAAGAATGTATGCCCGAGCCGTTGGCGTTAACCCTTTAACAGCGGCTGTTGCCTTTTGTTGCCTTTGGTAACACCACCGCTAGAAACGTGTGCTAGAGCCCTCAAAAAAAGCCGGATAACCGTGGATCTTGAAGATAGTGTGTCAAAGACCCAAAATAAAAATATAAAAAAAAAGATTCGAAAATATTTCGGGGGGTTCGGGCCCCATAGTAACCGGGACCCCCACTACGCCTTGTTGCCCTAAGCAACATGACTCGGCTGATAACAACCGGGCAACAGCGAGGCGCGATCAAGCCGGAGGTCCAGGGGTTTACTGCCAAGGGTCCCGGCCCCCCCCCGGTGCATGGTGGAGGTTGGGTGTCGCTGGTGACGTCATGCTTTAGGTTGTTGCCATGTGGCAGTCATCGCAACACAGGGCAACAATCTGGACTACATCTCAACCGTTGTGCATGGCAGGTGACCAGATGGCAAAAGAGCAAAAACGGGGCCCTCGCGGCCACTCTACGGGCAGTCGAGGGGGAGCCTGCAGGTGCAGGCCTCCGTTATCTTGCTGCCTTTTTACCAGGCAAAATGGTCAAAAGGGCAACAATAGAAATGGGGCCTGAAAGGCAACAGACTGGCTGCAGACTCGATTACTTAGCAACCCAGGGAAGCAACAGAGAGGCCCCGTTTCTGCAGAGCTTGCAAGTGAGGCGAAAGCGGCGCGGCGCGCCAGCCGCCCGGCTGGTGATTTGGCTAAAATAGACTAATATTTAGCAACACATATGTTTTTGGGGCCGGCAACGCCTGGCTCAGCCTGGTTACCACTACTGGCAACAGGGTTGAAAGGAAAGCAACACTGGCAATATTAGGCTACGAAAACCCCGTATGGGGTCCTATAAGCGAGAAAGGCAACATACATAGCATATTAGTCGGACCCAATACCTATGTAGTGGTATGTTGCTCTTATATTGAGGTGTTGCTTCCCCACAGCGACTGGCAGGGGCAACAGCAGCAACAGGGCAATGGGGCCTTGCAAAGCTTGGCAAAGGTAGACCTGTTGAGTGCATTCAACACTCTAACTGAGAGGCCTCGTAGAAGCAAGTTACCGTAGGCCCGCAGGCATCCCAGGCAGCCGTGGTTGGAAGCTCCGGACCTCGGAGTCCGAATGCTTCAAACCGTGATCGACCGGCGCGCCGGACCGTCAAATTTTATGACAGACGCCGTCCGATCGCGTCTTTTTTCCAGTAAAAGGCGCAGAGGCGCAGCACTACATTGACCATCCCGTTGTCAAAAAGCGCACTTTAACTAGGTACATTTCGGGGTCCCGAACTTTCCGCTGGCTGGGGCTGGCACCGTCCGATGAGTG